CCCCCTGAGGACCACTGAGCAAACACATCTGAGTGCTGCCACCATCCCCACCCACAGCTGGCCGGTGGATGGAGGCTGCTGGAGCTGCTTCCAGGGTTTTCCGAGCCACAGGGCAGGCTTGTTTGGGGCCAGTTTATGGCTTCCCAATGAATCGTGGGACAGGACCAGGGTCTGAGGAAAATCAAAGCAGTGTTGAGTAAACGTTCTGGAGGAGCAGCTCGTCTTCCTGGACTGGAGATGAAACTGAAGAAAACAAGATTCCATCTAGGAATCGTCCAGGGCGAGGCGGCCCGCCAGGAGCCAGGGCAGCTTGGATGGGGTCCCTGCACGCACAATCGACCCAGTGTGGGGCACGCTGCCCCGGCAGGCTGGCGTCCCCGAGGGCTGGAATGAATGGCCCCCTCACTGGGCGGCTTTGACCATTTATGAGGTGCCGTCTGGACTGTGATGAATGAGGTGGTGTCCGTCAGCTTTTTGGGGAACCTGGCCTGGGTGGAAGATGCTAAATAAATACAGGGGGAGGGGCGCTGGCCTCCCCCCCGGTTTGCTCCAAGCCCTCCGTTTCTGTGCCTCAGTTTCCCCATCTGTATAGAGGAACTGATGAGGAATACCCACTCTCCCACCCCCAGCCAGTGTTGCAAGTACAGGCAAGAGAGAGAGAGAGTCCCGGGGAGAAGGGAACCCAGGGACCCCTTCTGCTGGGGCCTCTGCCCGTGAGTGGCAGGCGGACGGCCTTTTGTGCAGAACCAGGCTCAGCTCTCTGCGAGGACATAGAGTCTTCCCATCTCGGTGCTGCCTTGCTGGGCTGCCTCAGGCCAGCCTCTGCCCCTCCGTGGGCCTCAGTGAGTAATGAGGGGTTGTACCCTGAAGTCCTTCCAGCCCTTGGGTTTGGGGGCTCATCTGCCTTGTTTGGGGGCTTGTTCTGTCCAGGGGTACAGGGAAGATGCCAGCATCGCAGTCAGCCCAGTACGTGAGTCCCAGCTCCCCCACGTGCCGGCCACGTAACCCGAAGCACACCGCTCACTCCTGTGTGCTCCTCCCAGGGGTGGGATGTGGAGTCTTCTCCGGGTGGACAGGAATGAGGTGCCTCTGTGGACGTGCTGTGTGCCCCCAGGGTTCTCTGTCCTGAAGGTGGTGGGTTTGGGCCTATCTGATGGCCTCCAGTGAGGGCCAGCCCTGGGCGGTCTCTGGGTGGCGGTCAACGTCTGTTTGACGTTGCAGGGACCCCCGGGGCACTTGGCTCAGCTAAGGGTGCTCTGTAATTAACTGACACGCTCTGCAGAGCAGGCGCCTTTCCAGGTGCTGGGCCCCAGGAACAGGGCTGGCCTGGACTGCCCCTCCTGTGGCTGGTGAGCCGCTGGGTCCAGGAGGGCCACTGCACCCCTTGTCCTATTTGGCTGGGCTGCAGAAACTGCTTTTCTTATAACGTATGTAACATAGCATTCCTGCAGCCTCCAAGGGAACTTAGAGAGAAGGTCCCACCCATTATCCTACCTCCCTGAGACAGCCAGCTGTCTCCTCCAGCCTCTGCCAGCTCCCTTCTGTAGCCATGGTCATGTGCACAGATAACTCTCCTCGTCTACCTCCCCCGCCCCCGGCCATTGTTCATAGCTGCATCATATTTTATGGAGCAGATAAACATACTAGCCGTAACCCCTCCCCTGTGCTGGGCATCTGACTGGCCCCTTCTGTTGTACACAGTGCCGGCATGGCCATCTCTATGGCACCCATAGCTTTTTCCTTCGGTGCAGCAATTTTCCACATGCCAGACTCCGTATGAGGTCTCTTTAGAATTAAGTCTTTAGGAAAGATTTCCAGAAATGGGGTTGAAGATTGTGATTCTTTTTATGGATCTACAGCCAAATTACCCCCCACCAGAAGCATTGTCAGCTTGCATCCCCAGGAAGGGGGCCTCAAAGGAGTGTGCGTCTGCTCCCCAGGCAGGGTGTATAGCAACAAATGGAGAAGTTACACAGTGGCCGCAGAGGCCTGCGCAGGGGACAGGGAGGCCGTCCCAGAGGCGGGGATGCTACAGAAGAGACCCACCCGCAGGGGACCATCCTCTTGAACCAGGGTGTCAGTTTCAAATGAATGAGCAGCCCCTTTGCAGTGTTTCTTGGGGCAATTTGGTCCTTTTTGTCCTGCCTGTGCTGTCATCTGTGAAGGCCATCAGCACCGTGGCCGCATCATGTCCAAGTGCTCATGCCAACTACCCCTAGGTAGCCCACCACCCACCCAGGTGCTCAGCACCCGCCATCTTATTCAGGCTTCCCGTCGCTGCTCCTGAGACAGGGAGTCACCTTCTCAGGAGGGGTTTGGACCCTGGCCACAGGAGTCCAGAGCCTGCATGCAAAATGCTGCATCCAGGCGCTGCCCCCACAGCCCCACCAACTGCGAGGGGCCTAGGGGGTCTCCTTAGGTCCCTTGGCGCAAGAGGCGCTCACACTCAGAACTCAGTCGTGGGTGGGAGCCAGACCAGCGGTGCGCTGCTCCCTGCCTGGCGCAGGCCCTCCTCTCCCCGCTTGCTCCGGCTGGAGACTGACGTTGGGAGCAAGCTGGCTGAGGTTTCTTCTTCTGCCCTGTTAGCGCTGGAGGCTCCTGATGATGGTGAGTGAGCGACAGACAGTTAACTTGGGACCCTCACAACGGAGCACGTTGGTGCTCAGCGCCCAGCATTAGGATGCTCAGCTCACCATCTCGTTCAGTGGGCCCGGGCTGCCTCTTTGTGACGGGAGAGTCCTCTCCATGCGAGGGCCTCGGGTCCACCTTTGCCATCACATCGGCCTTTGCGGGGACTTCTTGAGCACGTGGGGGCCTGCACTGCAGGCAGATCGGCTCAGCCCCTTTCCTCCATGCAGGCCCTGGGGCGAGCTGGGTGAATGAGGCTGCCAGGGAGGGGAGTGGCTGTCACCCCACCCCAGGGCACCCTCTGAGACTTGTTATGTGCAGGATTGGAACTGAACGATGAAATCCCTGCATGGGGCTCATTAAACCCAGGCTCTAAAACTCCGCTTGGCTCCTGGGGCCTTCGCCGCTTGCCTGCACTGCACTGTTCCGCCCGTGCCCACTTCCCCGTACTGTCTGTTCAGGGCCACATCTGCCTCTGTCCCCTGTCAGCCCCTGAGGTGAGACGTCCACCCACAGATGGGAGAAAGGAATGGGAGAGCCAGAAGGTCAGCTGGAGCTCCTTGGTGTTCTGAGGGGAGACTCTGAAGCCCAGAGAGGAGGAGGGACTTCCATGAACGAGGTGGGGGCCAGGTGGGAGCAAGGGAACAAGTGGGAGCCAGTTTGGGGAACCTGGGCTGAGCAACCCAGTGACCGCTCACGGTGCCAGGCATCGGGAAGTCAGGGGAGTGGGTCTAGCCAGTCTCGGAGCCATGCAACAGGCACCTTGGACTGAGAGGCCCAGGGGTCTGCTCGTTTGGGAAGAACAACTTCTGAGCTTCTGCAGACCCCTGCTGAAGCCTCACCTGCATAAGGCCACGCATGCCCTCACCTGAGGCAGGGACAAGAGCCTCCTTAGGAGAGTTGTCCCTCCTGGACAGTCTGCTTCTGTGTAACCCCCAGGGTTTCTCTCTTTGCTTTGGCTGCCAGGGAACTCAAAGCTACATGTTTTTGCTCAGATTCCCAGGCCTGTGGTACAGGTATTTCCCCTCTTGCTCACTGTGGTTTCTGGGCTGCCTCTCTAACTTCCTCTGGCTCTGTGCTAGTATAAACATCACTGTGTGCCTTTTTAGGCTGCCTGGGACACTTAAAAAACCAACTCTTTATTTCATCCACATTGCTGTGTGCAGCAGGAGCCTGTTCTTTTCCCTTGCTGTGTGTCGTTCCATTGTATGGCTGGGCCACAATTTATTCATTCTGCTGTTGACGGACAGTTGGGTGGTTCCCGGTTCCGGGTCATTATGAACAGAGCTGATGGGATGTTCCCGTCCTGTCTTTCCATGGACGGAGCCTCATTTCTCTCAGGCACACGCCCGGGCTGTAATCGCCGGGTCACGCGGTATTCCTGTGTCCAGCGTTAGGACAGCTCTGCCAGGCGTTTTTCCAGAGCACCGCCCCATCTTGCACTCCACCAGCATGGGTCCCCGATGCTCACGTCCTCTAGCACTCGGGGGTTTTCCCTCTGGCCATCCTGGTGTGGGTGCGGTGGGTGCTGCTCTGCGTCTGCACATCCCTGACGGCTCGTGATGCTGGGCGCTGTTCAGCGGGCGCAGTGGCCAGTCGGACCTTCTGGTGGTGGAGTGCTGGTTTCAACCCTTTTCCAGTGGCGCACGCGCAGAGTAGGTAAGGGCTGGTAGCCCACAGTCCATGGGGGCTCTTGAGGCCGTGGAGTTTGTGACACTGCGTTTTTCAGCTCAGGGTGCGCTTCTGTGGAATGAGAGCTTCCTTACTGGACCCTAAACAGCACCCAGGACAGGGCAGCCTAGCCCATCGGCTGTGGGCACCCTGCCTTAGGAGACCTTCCTCCGAAGCTCACAGATGGACAGGTGCTGGGGGAGCCCTGCTCTCAGCCGCCCGGAGCTCAGTTTCTCCGCCTGTCAGGGGGAGTATGGGTACCACCTCCCAGGACAGCTCGAGGAGGCGCCAGCACGGTCCCCACCCATAGTAACCCCCGTCATCAACAGGGTCCCCAGCCCAGCTCCCCAGTCCGGACGTAGCGGTGACAACAGCAGCCTTCCGTGTGTGGGACCATTGACCCCCATGCCCCCAGCATGAGAGGGGCCCCACCCATGCCCTCCCTCTCCTGGGCCACCAGTGGAGAACTCATAACTTGGCTGTGGATCCCAGGGCCGGCTGGGCTGATGGCGAGTGGTTTAGCCTCAAAGGCGGGGGGAGGAGGGGGTGCGGTGGCTTTTCTGGGGAGGCCGCAAGTGAGCGCCCCGCCCGGTGCCCCTAGGGGCCTGGGTGCAGGCGCAGGCGGACCTCTCAGGGGATTCAGCCGCTGGAGAGCACATTGCAGGGGGCTGGGCCAGCTTGTTTTAATCAAAACACACACCAGGTGTTCAACATGTTTTTATCAAAATATTCTAAACAGCCGTCAGAAGCTCCTCAGCCACGAGGCCACATGCCCAGCTACCTGGCTCCTGGTGGGGGGGCAGCAGACCTTCCAGCTGGCTCTGTGACCCCAGGAAGGCAGCTTACCCTCTCTGACCCTCCATTTTGTCAGTTGTAAGATGCTGCTGCGAAAACCGGAGCAGGGTTTTCGCCAGGTCCCCCGAGGGAGAAGCCTCAGTGATTGTCACTATTATGAATAATATTATGAGCAGAGCATCCCGTCAGCTTGGAGAAGTGGGCCCCGAGGGCAGGCTCGGGGGCACAGGCTGCGTCAGCAGCCCCTAGGGGTGCCCCTTCTCTCTCTCAGGGGAGTCAGAGAGGCCCCTTGCCACCTGTCCCTGGGCACAGCCACACGGGCATCTCTGCAGGCCTGGCATTGGCCACCGCCGAGTTTGCTCATCACCTGCCAGGTAGGAGCATGGCGCTTGTCCCTAGCCTGGCTGGCTCCTGTTCAGAGCCCCTTGGGCAAAGCCCCCTAAGGTATTTGGCCCTCAGGACCTGCCACCTTCTCAAAACATGGCATCTGCTTCCCAGACACCAAGCCCAAGATGAGCTTCCCATGAGGAGCTGTGGACCTTGCTGCTCCCCCGGCCAGAGCAGGCCCCTGAGGTTCTCCACCCACCCGGTCCAGCCCCTGCCGTCCATCCCTCCACCCAGATGGTGCATCTGTGGGGGCCACACCCTGTGCCGGCTGCATCATCTCACCGGCTCCACTGAGCCCTCGGAGGAGGTTGTCTCAGCCCCACTTACAAATGAGAGAGTCCAGACTCCGAGGGGCTAAACATTTGTCCAAGGTCACACAGCAGTCAGGGCCAGCCCTGTCCAAACCCGGCTCAGGCCTCCTCTGCCAGGCCCAGCAGGCCAGACTAGCAGGAGGGCCGCCAGCTCCCTGCCCATCCCTGGCCCAAGTGTGGGAGGCTTGAGTCCTGCGTGGGGCTATAGTCGGGGACCTCAGGTCAGACCTGAAATGCTTTCTGGCAACAAAAAGGGGGAAGAAAAGAGAAACTGCCCTTGCTATTTAGACGACCTGTGGGAGTGATTGTGGTGTGACGGCTGACTGCTCGGGCCTGACCTGGGGTGCTCTGGGGCTGCCCTGCCTCCCAGGGAGCTCCGTGGACAGAGCCGCCCATGCTGGGGTGCTCTCCCATGACCCTGTCAGGCCCCCATTCTGGAAGGTCCCAACTGGATTCTCTGGGCCTGTGTTCCAGAGGCCTTACAGGTGTTCATTCATTCATTCACTTGTTCATTCAGGGGGTAGGCTGCGTCCTGAAGACCACGTGGTGGGGGTCAATCTGAGCTGGGCCTTGCAGAGAGGAGTGGGCGTGAGAGGAAGTTTTGGGCAGCCGTGTGGACAGTTTGAGGCACGTGACAGGATGAACACCAAAGCTGGAGAGTGACAGGGAAGGAGAGAAGAGGGTGGCAGGTGGGCTCCGGGGTAACCTCATGGGCCACGCTAGGGAGCCTGGATTCGGTCTTGGTGATGGGGCGCTGCAGGGGCGATGGGTGCCCTGCCCAGACCTCTCGGCCCCCGCTGCTGCTTGTGTGCAGCCCCCATACCTGCAGCTCTGTTCAGGATGCTGCCCTCAGTGCTGGAGCCTGCTCAGCCTGCAGGCGCAGAGAGCTGCAGGCCTGGGGTCTGGGGGCTTGCCTCTGGGACTCACTTAGACTGGGGGTTGGCCCTGGGGTGGGTGGCATGCTCTGACAGTCAGGGTTTGGGGGGAGAGGACGTTTCACCCTGGTAAGTGGTTCTCCAGAAGGAAATTCTCTGGCCTGGCCCTGCCACCCAGACGAGAGCCCAGGTGCTTGGGGACTCAGCACTGGGGCCTCCCCAAGGAGGTGAGGAATTCGGAGTGCACATGGCCCCATGCTGGGGCCTGGGCTCTAGAGGGAAGCAGGAGGGTGAGGCCAGGCCAGGGATCCAAGGCCCCAACCCTCAGACACCTGCCCTTCTGCCCAGCCCCCCTGGGCTATGGGGACAGATTGGTCCCCACGCCTAGATCTCTAGGGAGCCAGATGCATGGGTGATAACACACAGCCCCAGATGGTCAGACGGAAGGAGGCTGCTGGCTCGCCTGCTCAGGTGGTTGGCTGGCTATTCCTGTCTCTGCCAGGAGCCAGGGCCTTATGCTGGGAGCATGGGACCACCACTGGGATGCCCCTGACCTCAGGGAGCACAGTCTGGAGGGGGATGACACAGGCAACCAGACAATTGCAGTAGAGTGACAGGTGCTCTGAAGGGGTCGACACAGGTGCCATGGGGCACAGAATGGGCACCTCGCCGAGGTGAGGGCTAGGAAAGGGCTCAGGGAAGCCTTCCTGGAGGAGGTGACTTGTTCCTTGGGAAGTATGTCCCAGATAGCCAACACTTTCCGGCAGGGCAGCAAATTCAGATACTTGCAGGGGCAGGCAGGAAATGTAGTGGAGGGAACCAGGCCTGGTCTGAGAATAGGGAGACGAGAGAGAGTGGTGGGGAGTATGGCAAACCATCAGCTGTTTGCCCCATTTAAGGGGGCAGCTGCCTCTGCATCAGCTCAGTTTTGCCTGGGGGATGCCAGCCCGTTGTTACTGGATCTTCCAGATTTTCAAAAGAAGCCAGACTTCCAGCTTCTGTTTTTGGAAAACACTACACTCACCCACGCAGACATGTCCAAGGTCCCTGGATTGTGCCTCTGGCCGTACTGTGCGTGTGGACTGGGCAAAGCCTAGGCAGGGGCTCCAGCCGGGGCCGAGGGCTCGTGTGTCAGTGGGAGGGAGTCTCCCGGGACCTCCAAATACCAGTGGGCGGCCATGCAGCACCACCCACTATTTTCGGGCGTCCTGTCTCTGTTCTCAGCACCTCCAGGTGCCGGCCGCCCGCAGGCGGTGCAAACCGCGCAGGAAACAGCTGGTGCCGGGGGTCGGTTTTGGTTGACAAGGTGCCGCCAGGCTGAAACCGCCGTCAACAGGCCCGTTTCCTCCCTGTGGACAGAGTGGCCCTAAGGGCGGGTGCCAGGGCCCATGGGGAAGTCCCACTGCGGCTGGGCTCTGGCCTGTGCCCTCTTCCTGGCTGGCCCCAGTGCTAGAGATGGACGGCACGGCCTGGTAAGGAGACCGGCGGCTCTGTGCTTCTGCCTGGGGCCGGCTCCAGCGTGCGTAGTACTTTTCTTTCGTTTTCCTCGTCGGTTTTCCACAGCACCGTGCTGTCCGCACTGCGTTCATTGAAGCTGGTGGTCACGCCCCGGGGCCACCTGTGTCCTGAGCTGATCCGGAGGGGAGGGCGTCCCTGCCCACAGGCACTCAGTCTGGCTGGAGGTCAGCCAGCGCATCAGTGATTCCCAGATGCAAAACATGTCCCGGGCGCTGAGGGCAGAGCGCTAGAACGAGCCGCGATCTCAATTTGCGTGAAAGCCAGACACGGACGTTGAAGTCCCCGCTCTGCCAGGTGCTGCTGTGACTTTGGGCAGGTTCCACCCCTGCTTGCATCTGGGTGTCTGTCATCTCTAGAATGGGCCAGTTGTGCCCACCTCATGGGGCGCCGTGCAGGGTACATGGGAAATGCTCCTCAGAGCCTGCCCGCGGCAGACACGGGCTCCAGTTGTCCCCTTGTCCTTGTGGTGCAGCGTCTGTGGCTCACCTACCCCTCAAGCCAGGCGAGCTTTGCCCGCATCCTGGGACCTGCCTGCTGGCTGGGTGGCAGCTCCAGTCTGTGGCAAGTCCCTTCCTCTGCCTCAGAGAGACCCCTGGTCCTTCCCAGCTGGAGGTCAGGTCAGTCAGGCCAGGGTTCTGGGCCCTGGAGCACCCCTTGCCTGAAGGAAAGGGGCACCCGTTAGCCCAGCTCTGCCCCTCGCCCCCACTCATCACCACATCCAGATGAAGCAGACCACCAGGACACTGGAGGGACCACGGAGCCCATGAGGCAGAAAGCACAAATAACGTGCCCCCCCCTCCCCGGGGGGGAACCCCAGCCCACAGTGAACATGCCGTGTGTCTCCCAGCTGGCAGGCACAGGACCCCACTCCGCCTTTAGCTCCTCTGTCGAGCAGAGGCAGGAGGGAGGGGGAGGCAGCCAACTGCGAGCCCCTGTCCCTCCCTTCAATGCCAGGCTCCTGGCCCCACGTTCATGCCCTGAGGGGCCTGGCTCACCTGAGGTGCGAGGAGGGTGGTGTGGGGAAGGCGTGTGGGGGGTACAGGCCGGCACATCCTCAGGGTGCGCCTCTGCCTTCTTGTTTGCACAGACTCCATGGGGTGTGCTCTGGGGGAGGGCCACCCTCCCCCCTCCCCTTTCCTGCCTGTTACAGATGAGCAGACGGCCCAACTGACAGGGGAGGCCCTGGGGCCTGCCAGGAAAGGGAGCTCTGGGGCGTGGCCACCTCCCCTGGCAGAGCTCTGACCCCAAGGGAGGTCCCAGCCAGCAGAAGTGTGTGTCCCCATTCCCTTTCCTGGCCAGGGAGCCATGGGCCTCAGTGGGCTGGGCCGAGGACTCTTTCAGGCCTAGGGTTTTTGTTTCGGTATTTTTCCCCACGTGGTTTTAAAGATTTTATTTATTTTTTTCCTTTTTCTCCCCAGTACATAGTTGTATATTTTAGTTGTGGGGCCTTCTAGTTGTGGCATGTGGGACACCACCTCAGCGTGGTTTGATGAGCAGTGCCATGTCCGCGCCCAGGATTCGAACCAACGAAACACTGGGCTGCCTGCAGCGGAGCGTGCTAACTTAACCAGTTGGCCACGGGGCCAGCCCCCCAACATGGTTTGAAAGCACCCAAGAAGCCCCTGTCTGTGTGAGCTGGTTGGGCCAGGGGAGGACAGGTCTCTGCCATCCGTGGCAGGAGGTGCCCCAGGCTGCAGGGTCCCCAGGTGGGTCTCAGGGGCTCCAGGCTGGTTTGTGCCAGGCCTCAGGCAGAGGCTGGACCCCGGCAACTGGGAATGAGGACCAATGGCAAGAGACACAGGACCCAGGGGTCCAGGAGCCTGGTGGGCAAGGCTGGGGGCCACAGGCCTGAGGGCTGAGCCCATCTCTGAGTGAGGACAGAGCTTGAGGCTGGAGCCGAGGACCAGGCACCCAGCTGAGGCATCCAGGCAGGACGGCGCAGGGCCTGGTTCTTGTTTCCATGGTGACGTCCCAGCAGGCAGGAGCCAGGTCAGGGTCCCCTTGTGAAGCAGGGCTCAGCAGGCCTTGGCTGGAGGAGGGCACAGGCCCCTGGGGAGAAGCTGCTGCCTAGGTTTCTCTGTAAGCACCAGGACCCCATTTCCCAGAGGAGTCCGGGGTGTCTGCCCAAGTCTGGGCCTGCCCCACCTCCAGAGCCCAGGTCCTGCATTGGCCCAGGGGACAGAGGAGGAAAAGCAGTCCGTCTGAGATCTGTGGCCAACTCCACTTTCCTGGCCAGATAAGGTCACTGACCGGCAGGCACCTGCCAGCAGCCAGCCCAGGTCCAGGGGTCGCTGCGTGCCCCACGGGGCCCCAGCAAGCTGCCCTCTTGACAGTGAGCATCCTGGGGCAGCAGGTGGACGGCAAGGAGCCTGTGGCGTGGGCCTCATGTCTGGGTCATGGCCAAAGGCCAGAGTCCCTTAATCAAACTGCAGCAAGGTGCCTGGGGCGGGTGGCGGCGGGTCTCCCAGCACGTCCTCCTGGCGTTTGCAGGAGACCATGCTCTCGCCCTACCCCGGGTCTCGGACTCCTGGGCTCAGATGGAAAGACCCCTTTGCCCAGTGTCGTCACCTCCGGCTGCATGGATCGACACCCTCTGTCCTTTCCTCCAACGCCGTCAGCACAGCTAGCACTGGCATCAGTCTCAGTGCCGTCACCCTCCCCGTGCCGGCACCAGGGCCCTGAATTCACTTGGCTGGTGGTGTGGCCAGCGCTTCCGAAACAACTGGGGATGAAGTTGCGTGCCCTTCCCGTGTGGGCCAGGCCGTGGCCTCTGTCTGGCCCTGCCCTGGACCAGGGCAGGGGGTGGCAGGCAGGCAGCGCCGAGCCCTCCAGAACTCCACACGCAGAGGTAGCCCCTGTGTCCCCTCAGTCGGCAGAGCCGGGGAGGAGGTGCTGGCCCCGCGTGGGCCCAGGGGAAGGAGGCAGGAGTGGCGACCGTCCTTGCTGCGCTCCCCACTGGGGAGTCCAGCCACCATTTCCTTTCGCTGGTACAAAGACCATGCCTGGGAAGCTGTCCCGGCTCAGCCTCCTTCTCTGCCTCCTTCGTTCCCTCCTGCCCTCGGCTCACAGGGCACGAGGGGGAGGGATGGCTAATGACAGGCGGCGCCCTGCCTGGGCAGGGGCCTTTTGTTCATTCACTCAATGGTGGACACTTCCTGGGTGCCTGGCCCTTCCCTCTAGGCAGCCCAGGTCAGCAGGCACCAGTAGATGTCCAGTCAGCATGGCACAGGGGAGTCAGGGGACAAGTCCTATGTGCTCAGAAAAGAGTAGCTCACCCTGCGGGATGGAGCACAGAGTTGGAGATGGGATTAAGTGGGTGAGGTCTTGAAGGGTGAGTAGGAGTTTGCAGGTGGAGCAGGACCTAGTGATCATGCCATTCCGGGACACAGCATGACAGTGATGTGTGAGAGAGGGAATGTCTGAAGACCAGCGGGCCCTGGACGCTGGGTGGCTGGCGTGTAGAAGGAGGGTACTCAGTTAGAGTGGACCTGTCTACTCTGCTGAGCTGGGCTGTGACGTGGGCAATAGGGAGCCACAGCAGAGTTTACATAGGGAGAGTGGGAGCTGCAGGACAGGGAGGGAGGAGCCAGTGAGGGGAAGGGACAGGCCTGAGCAGAAGACCCTACCGCACCCTCTGGAAACGGGCTCAGCCCAGCGAGGGGGCAGGTGGAAGCCATGCTGGCTCCTGGCTGACCTCCTGATCCTGCCACCACTTGTCACAGCCCTGCTCCTCCGCTTCCAGCTCCAAAACTGGGGCGGCAGGACCCACTCACAGCTGCTGTGCAAGGAGGATCCACCCCCCAGAGACGCCAGATCGCCGCTCACAGGAGCCCGGGGAGGAGAGAGGATCCCCTGGACACCGGGGCATCTGCCTCCGCCTCCACCTTTGGGCCAGGACTGGAGGGCCCCGCTCCCGCCTAGTTAGGGAGACATCCTCAAGGACCATGTTTTGATGCTTCAGGAGGATGGCGGTGAAGACAGTGGATGGGGGTTGTCCAGCCTAATGTCCATTTTTCTGGAAGCTTCCCTGACCCCTTGGGTCCCCCATAAATTCCCTCAGACCCCTCCCGCTGTGAGCCACAGGAGGACAGAGGGCAGGACAGGAGGAGGCCCACCCCCCAGTGCAGACAGTGCCAGGTGCCTTCTCGGTCACACTTCGATTCTCGCTCAGAGTGGCCCTGAGTGCCGGGTCATGTGCCCACCTTACAGATGAGGAAACTGAGGCTCAGGGAGGTGAAGAGACAGCTCGCGGTGGACAGAGCAGGGAGTTCATCCTGCATGGCCTGGGCTAGGCCTGGAGCAGGGGAGGGGCAGTCCCGTGACCCCCACAGGGATCTCCTAGGGTTCAGGGAAAGGGGGCGTCCACTAGGTCCCCGGGGGGCAGAGGGGGTCAGGGCACACGTGGCCTGGAACAGGGCCACTGAGGCAGCCCCGGCCCCGCTCAGGGACATGGCCAGGTGCTGCCTGCTCTCTGCTCTGCCCCCTACAAGCTGTCTCTTCACCTCCCTGAGCCTCAGTTTCCTCATCTGTCTCCCGGGAGACTCTGGTGTCTGTCCCCCCCACACACACACACTTTATGTGCTCTCTGTCCCTTTCTACCCGTCTCTCTTTCTCACCTCCTTCCCTCCATCCCTCTCTCCGCCTCTGTCTCTCTCTGCCCCTGCCCCACCCGGTGTGTCTGTCCCCTGCTCTCTCCCACCTTCTTTGCTCTGTTTTCTCCCCCACTCTCTGCCTGTCTCTGACTCAGTTGCTCTTCCCTCCCCCATGTCTCTTTCTGTTTCTGTCACACTGCCCTTCCTGTTCCTGCCTCTCCTCCCTCTCGCCTCTCTCTTCCTCTGTGTGCACATCTCTGTGTCCCTCTGTCTGTCTCTTCCCCCGAGCCCCCGCTCCCATCTCCCCTCCTTCCCTGATGGCTTGCTCTGTCCTGGCAGGGCCTGCTCAAGGCCCATGTGTCTCTTGGCCCCTTTCTCCATCACCCTCTCTGCTCGGTTCCCACTGCCGAGGGGCAAGTCTTTGCTGGGTTTCTGGTTCAGCTTCCGTAGTGTGAGGTCTTGGAGGCCCCGTGGGTCATAGGTCACTGGCTGGCATGGAGTGGGATCCTCTCCTGCCCAGTCCATTAGGCCAAGCCTAGCTGCATCAGGGGCTTCAGAGTGGGCAGGCCCATAATGAGTCCCCTCCACGTCCCCAGCTCCCGGAGAGCCGCAGCCTACGGCAGCGTCACATAATGAAGATATAAAAGTCCACGATTTCCTCTGTGTGTTGGCAAACACCGCCGGCTGCTAATGCAATCCTTTCCTTTAATGGATTCTTGAATTTAAACGATATGTAATTAAACATAATTAGCCATGCACGCCATGCGGCTAGGTACCGTATGCCGTGGGACCGGCTAGAATGTCATTACAAAGCGTCTTCTTTTATGGACGGATCTCTTGTTCCCTCTCGAGGTCGAGTTCATTTGACTGGACAGTAAACCCGGCCTGAAGGTCTAGTAAAGGGGTCCAAGGAGGGGCTCCGGGCCAGCTGCCCGGGGACCTGGATGATGAATTGGGGTGGGCGTGTTTGCTGGGAGAAGTTCAGTTTGGCTTTGAGCAGCCACGCTGACCTCACTGTGGTGGAGAGAAAAGCTGGGAGTCTGATGGGAACTGTGGGGACCTGGGGGAGGGGGCACAGAGCAGGGACAAGGGGCGTCAGCACCCGGGCAGGCGGGGCCTGAAGCCTGCCTGGCCGCCCACTGCCCCCAATGGCCCCATCTGAAGTGGGGCACTGGGGCCCGTCGCTGAGCAGGACTCCGGGGCCACCCTTGGGCCCCAGGGGTAGCTGAGGGATGCCCGAAAGGGCGCATCCAGGGCGACGCAGGACTCGAGCCTCAGGCACACCGGCCAAGCAAGAGGCAAGACCAGGGCAGGGGCAGAGCGCAGCAGAGCCGGCTGCCGGGCTGGAGCCCGCTGTGACCACTTCCTTGGGCACTCCAGGCTGTCAGGATGTCCCCCCAGGGTCCTAGTCCCAGCCCACCTGCCTGTCCCACTCCACTGCCCATGGTTACACATGCCCCTGCACACACACACTCTGTCTTCCCTGTGCCTCCAAGACTGATGTGTATCCGTCCGGCCCATCTGTCTGTCCCCCACCAGCCTGTGGGCCAGGGTAGGGTCCAGGCCGGGTCACCCTCCCTCTCCCTGCCAGCCCGGCCCTGGCCCTAGGGCACAATCCAACAGCTTGCTGGGTTCTCAGTGGTCCCGGGAACCGTGCTGAACCCCCACGCCAGGCCTGTCCCCCAGCCTCACCGGTCAGCTCCTGCACTCCTCATGAGAGTCCATGCGTGTGTCCTGTTGTCACCTTCGTTTAGAGACAGGGATACCAAGGCATGGAGGTGGACGGCCCTTGCCCAAGGTCACGTGGTGGGTGGGGGTGGAGCCCTGCTGATCCTCAGGGCACAGATGAGGAAACTGAGGCAGAGGGGCGGTTTGCCAGGGAGTGGGTTTACTGTCCAGTCAGGTGCTCTGTCTCTCGCAGAGGGCCCCGCCCCCTACCTTGTGTGTCCTGGGCCAGGCTGGGAAGTGGAGCTGCCGAGAGAATTCCTGCTCCGGGAAAGACGCGAGGGAGGGGGTGCATTAGCAGCTGCAGGGGCACCTGGGACCCCTGCCCGGCCCCTCAGTCTGTACCAGGGAGGGGTGTCTGCACACCCTGGAGCCAGGCATGCCACCAGCGCCCAGAGCCTGCCTCTCCTGCACCCCAGGAGGGCCTGAGTGTAGAGCACCGGGTCCCCACGGAGGAGGAGCTGCCCACAGGAAGGACCGTCCACAGGGCCCCGGGCAGGTGGGAGGCTATGAGCACCCCATCCTGGGAGGATGGATGGCCCGACCAGGGCTCTGCCAGCCTCTGCTGTAGAGGCCCGCAGAGGAGCTGGTTGAGGCTCTGTGGGTGACGTGTGGTCTCTGTTGCATATTTTCTTCTTTTTACAAGGCCTTAAAAATATGAAAACCGTGCTTAGCTCAAGGGCTGTACAAAAACAGGCTGCAGGCAGGATTTGTCCCCCAGGCAGCAGAGAATGGCCACAGTGACAGGAAATAGACGCCTTGCATTTGTGAGATCATGTGCAACATTTTAGTTAAGTTTTCAAGGTAAAATATACCTCAAAAGCATGTTCTAGATAGCTTTGTCCATGTGCATATAAGTGCACGACAATGAACAGCAGGATGCATTTCCCTTGTGTGCCCCCCATCATAACCCCCCAGGTCAAGGTCTAGAACACTGCCAGCACCCCAATCGCACCCCCCAGGAAGTGACCCTCCTCCGGCCTCTGCACTGGAGACTGGTCTCGAGGGCTCATCCCATTCGGGGTCTGTGAGCCTGGCTTCTTGCGCCCGCCATGAGGTCTGGGCATGACATCGGATGGGCGTCGCAGCCCAGGAGCAGTTCCTTCCGAGTCTTGTCGTGCGCTGTTTTGACGTGCACACTACTCTCCCGCTGATGGACGTCTGTGCAGTTTTTGCCTTTTTGCTCTTATGACTAAACCTGCTCAGAACATTCTAGCACCATGTCGATGCACTTTCATTGTGTGTACACCTGGGAGTGGAACTGGTTGGTCACAGTAGGTACCGACACACAGTTTCCCAAAGTGGCCACATACAAGCTTTTGGTGCTGATGAGTGCGTGTCTCGGCACTGACGTAGGATGACGGAGATCTTGAATTCCCACGTGCCTAGATTGTTTGTGTCTGTGATGGCAAGAACAAAATAACAATCCCTTAAGATACGTGCACAACACGAGAGTTACTCTTGCTTGAGTTGCTGATGCCGTAGGTGATGGTGAGGACCCTTGTGCCCTCATCCCCTTGTCTTGTCCCCAAGGCTCACAGTTTGGGGCCTCACCTCTGGGGCAGTCATGCGCCCTTGGGGCATCTGTCCACGAGCATGTTGATCCTCGAACCGCAGGGTGGCCACCCTTGAAGGCCAGAGGAGCGATGCCCACTGGCCCTGGCTCCTGTAGGTGGTCTCTGTGCTTAGAGCCGGCGCTGCTGACCCAGGACCTTCCTGGAGGGTTGGGAACGTCCAGCCGCCAGGCATGCTCTTGGAGGCTCTGGCACCCAGGATATAGCTGGGAGTCAGAAGAACCAGGTCAGATCCCAGCTCTGCTCTCCCTGCTGCATGACCTTGAGCAAGTCTCTGAACCTCTCTGAGCCCCCATTTCCTCATCTCTAAGATGGGGTGCCTGCCTCCTCCCTGAGGATGTGAGGAGAAGATGATATGAGACTTGTGGAGGCTGTGCCTGGGGATGGCAGCAGGAGGGAAAGTGAAAGTGGCCTCGGCCCGTACGAGAGGGTGGGTGAGTAAGTGGGGGTCCTCTGGCAGGGGCAGGGGACAGGGCAGAGCCAAAGCTTGCCCCCCCCAGTCATAAGGAGTGTCCACCTTGCCCTCCCCCCAGGTCCTGGGCCTCCGCAGCCCCTGGGGAAGTGGCCTCCAGGCCACTGGGCTGAAAACTCTGTAAAAACAAAAGGTGCCCTTGCCCATGACGGCCGTCTTTGGGTAAATTGCTTTGCAGAAGCCAAACCCTTCAAAAAGGACAACTTGGCTTTTGGAATGTTGTCAGAACCAACTTCAACCACTTCCTTCCAGACAAGGGAGGAGCTTCCCAGGTGCTGGGCCGGCGGCTGGGAGGGCGCCGTTCGGGCTTTCCCAGGGAGCTCGGGCCAGGCTGCATGGTAAGGAAGCAGCCAGCCCCCAGCAGAGTGAGGGTGCAGAGGGCGGCCCTGACCCACCCAGCTCCAGCCTAGAGCAGTGGAAGGGCCTTCCAGTCACCAGGACCCCCTCTCCAGCTCATGGCCCCCTTAGGCTGCCATGGCCACGGGGACAAGGTCCTAGCTCCTTCCAGAACTGTCAAGACTCTGGGTGGGATGTCCCCAGGAGCCCACCCCGAGCGCCTCCTGTGGCCGCGGCCCCAGCTCCATTACAGTCCCTTGCCCACATGCCCACCTAGAACCCTGTTCTACTTCAGAACCCCACAGCCCCTCCTCCCCAAAGCCCCCACACAGGGTCCCCTTGGTGCTGCACAGACCCTATAGGCGTGGTCTTGCTTCCCTTGTCCCCAGCATCCAGCCAGACCTCAGGAAAGGTCTGGGGAATGAATGAAGGCTTTGGGAGGTTCTAGCCCACAAAATCCCAGCCAGAGAGGAGCGTCGCCAGGACCCTCACTGTTGGCAGGAGCAGCCTCGGAGGGCCCCAGCCAGATGGCTTGTGGGCCCCTGGGGTCTGGGCAGGAGGGAGCTGGGAGCAGGGTTGAGCTCCCACCCCTGCTCTCAGGCTGTGCTGCTTCTGCTGGCAGCACGGACGGAGCAGGGGCCAGCGGCCACTCCGCACAGGGCTCCGAGCAGGTTTCCAGTGGAAAGGTTTGGGCAGGTGCCAGGAACAGTCAGGAGGGAGATGTATGTGCCCTGAGTTGGGGGGGCTGGGACTGGGGTGTGGGGATGAGGGGGAGAGCCATTGGCCACAGGCCTGGCTGCCTGATGAGACGCAGCAGGGCCTGGAGGTTTCCTGAGGGCAGGGCCAGGCCTGTGCTAGATGCTGGAAGAAAGCAGCTTCAGGGGGTCACCATGGGGTCACCCACCAACTAACCTATAGCCATGCTCTCCAGGCCCAGTGACGAGCACCATCCAGAAGTGAAGGCTGACGGGTACGTGGACAACCTCGCGGAGGCCGTGGATTTGCTGCTGCAGCATGCGGACAAGTGATGGGCCCTCTGAGACGGCCCCCAGCATCCTGCCACCCCTCCCCCAGTGCCTGGACCACCCAAGGCCCTCCCCTGTGCCCTTTATCCTGAACAGGCAGGGAAGAGGGCGCCAGCCAGGCAGCTCTGGGCTGCCCTGCCTCTGGGCCCGTGCCAGCCAGCCCCTTCCTCTGTCTCCCCTGCCCACTCCGTACCCTGTCCGCCCTCCCCAGTCATGCCCCCCAACCTCCTGAGCTGAGGTCATCCCCACCTGCTGGCCTGAACCCCTGCCTGCACCCCAGGGAAGTCACGAGTGGGGACAGACCTGGGGCCTCCAGAGAAGGAAACCCTCGGGCCTGGGCTGGGGGTGCTCTGGGACTGTCCCGAAGCCCGGGTCCCGTCACTCTCCCTTTGCACCTGGTCCTTTAACTGCTCCACCTGATTGGACTCAGAGGCACTGCCCACTGCCTCCGTATCAGACATTCCGTGCACTTGAGGGAGGAGCCTGGAGGGGCCTCCCGTGCACAGTCCATGCAGCCTGGAGCTGAGCCAGCCTCCCTGGGACTGCCCAGCAGCCCCTGCCCACCCTCCACCCGCCACCCTTCCTGTCCCCGCAAGTCACCCCTGGAGCCAAAAGCCAGGCCAGCTCCCAGGCACTCTAAAGACACCCTCCCACAGAGCACAAGTATGACCCTCTGGAGTCGAGGTTGCAGGCACGGAGGGTGCTTCTGGAGCCCCAGCTCAGACTTGAGTGTGTCCTGCCCGGCACAGGCAGGAGGAGACTAATTAAATAAGCTCTGCCCTGACCCACAGCCGACTCAGGCCTTGACTGCAGAGGGCCGTGGGGGTAGGGGGCGGTGGGGGCAGCCTGGCACCGTCCCTGGGCCTGCCTGTGCTTGAACCCCAACATCAGCGGGCCAGGACCCTGAGACACCTCGCCTGTCCCAGCCCCAGAGTTTAACTGGTGGGGAAACTGAGGCCCTGAGGGGACAGTGAGCTCCCGAGGCCCCATCAGGGACCAGGTGGGCCAGGGCGCACGTTGGCCTTCCTCACAGAGCAGCCCCGTGGCCGTGGGCTTCCCCACTCACTCAGCCCGGGTTTCAGGTTTCAAAGTCATCAGCTGTCAACAGATAGTGCTCCGTTTCCCCCCACATCGACCCAGAAGCCACTGATAAGTCTTGGGATACAGCTTCTCATAAAAGAAGTCCTGAGTCCTCCGCAGCCGGGTTTCCACTCAGCAAAGGCAGGCGCTGATGAACACTGGACCCGGAGCCTGGGTCCCCCCCAGGCCACAGGTGGTGGCGGCAGCAGGGCTGTGCGTCCCCAGCCTTGCCCACCATTAAGTAGGGGTGGGGAGGAAGTGGCAGGGCCGAGCCTGTTCACGGAGAGGAGAGGCCGCGCCGGCTGCTGTGGCTGGCATGCCAGGGAGCAGGGGCGTTTGGCCTGTCGGGTGTCCCTTGTCACAGCTCGCCGGGAGCTCTGCAGTGGCTGGGTAGCGGGCACGCAGCTCACTGCAGTGTGGAGGGCACCTGCAGGGGGACAGGTTTGGGGGTCTTTGGTTTTCCCTTTTTTTTTCTTTCCCCTTTGCGTCCTTGGCAGGAGCTAGCAGCCAGGGCAGCGCCCCCTGGAGGAAGGAGGCTGGCGCTCGCTCTCTCCATGGACAAGAGGAGTCTCCTCTTGCAGGCTGCTGCCCATGAGTGGGGACAGGGAGGGTGTCCAAGGGACAGCAGGTGCAGACCCCTGCTTTGGACAGAGAATGTGCCACCCCCGAGCTGTGGGTTCAGTAAGTGGATGCTGTTGTCCCCCCATTTTACAGATAGATAAGTACACTAGGTGCAGAGGGAGAAAGCCGCTCTTCTGAGGGCCGACAATTGGTAAGGGCAGAACTGAGGCCCGAATCAGGTTCTGACCCCACATCCATGCCCTTTCTAGTCTCTTCCACAGTCCTTCTGTGGGGGGTGGCCTGTGGCGTTCTCCCTCCAGAGACAAAATATTCTTTGGGATTGAGCTCTGGCCCCACTGTGGGGGTGTCATGTAACTCCTAAGCCTCAGCTACTTCATCCTTTCCCTAACAGGCATCACTGAGCCCTGCTGGGGGCCAGGCCATGCTGAGGTGCTGTCACCCAGATGGGGATAATGACATCTGTCCTGCTGCCACCTAGGGTGACAGTGCTGCCCAGCCCCAGCCTGCTGCAGACCCTCCAGCCACGCCCCAAGCATCGCAGCACAGTTCTCCGGCCAGAGATGGCCGTAGCCACTGGCCACGTGTGGGGCTGGAGTTCAGGGCGGGCCATGGCCTAAGGACCTGTCTGCAATCAGGTGACGCACCACAGACCTGCTGCTAAGAAACAGACACTCAAAGTCCAGGCAACAGGCCAGGTTGGCCCCCCTGCCAGCAGAACGTTCCAGGATCTAGGGACACCCAGCAGAGCCACTGTCGGGAGGGGTGGGGGTGGGTGGAGAGGAGAGGCTGAGTATGTCACCTCTTTGGGGGCACAAGGTCCTCATCTACTCCCAGATCTTCCAACTCAAGGGTCCACATGGTACCAGCCCTGTGTGAAAACCCAATTCAAACTTGGTTATCCAACAAGAGAGTTTATTGTCTCATGTGACTTACAAGTCCAGGCCTGGCTGGATCTGGGTCCCAAGAAAGTCCCAGGCTGACCTGGGGGCCGCCCCACCCAAACTCCCACAAGACAGAGGGAGGCAGCATGGCACCAGGAGGAGGACAGGAAAACAGGGGGCGTCCACACTGCCATTGTGCTGATGTGCAGCTGGCAGTGGCTGGGACATCAGGGTCCTCAACACCAGCTGCGCGCCTACCCCCAGGCCCGGCGGCTCCAGCGCTCCCTCCTCCTTCAGGTCAGATGGACAAGGTCCCTGCAGAGGCTGGTCCTTCCCGCTGGGCCACTCCTGCCCCTCAGGGAGGCAGGCGGGAGCTGGCAGGTAGGAAAGGACCAGAGGTGGGGACGCAGAGAGGGACATGCACACGGCCCACCGCATGCTCACGGTTCCACCTCCCACCCCAGCGTGATGACCCACCACTCACTGTCCCTCGGAACTGTCCCGCTTTAGGTGGTAAACATATCAGCACTTGACGTTCTCTCATTTTTTGTTTCTTTCTTTTTTAAGATTATAAATGCAATATGTATTGCTGTAGGAAATTCAACAGAAAAGTATAAAAAGAAACCAGAAGTCATCAGAGCCTGAGCACTGCTAATGTCTGGGCATTTCCTCTCGGCCCTCTTGCCGCGTGGGGAGAAGTGTTTGAACAGTCTGGATTGGCCCATACACCCAGCATGGTATGGGGCTTTTTTGCTTCCTCTCCTTTAAGCCCCACAAGTGTTACAGCCCCTGTCCACACGAGGAGACTGCTCAGTTAGCATGCTGCCTGGTGTCCTGCAGACAGCACCTGTCAAATGCAGGTGCGCGGGCCCAGCTCAGGCGCACAGTGGGGCCCGCCCGCAGTGCCTTGCAGCCGGACCAACAGCAGGGCAGGGAGCCCCCAGGCCTGTGCCTCGGGCACTATCCTGATCTTGGCAAATCTTGAGGTGCAGGGGAGCGTGGCACTCTCCTTCCCCTGCTGCGGGAGTCACCAGGGTGAAGAGCGGGGCAAGCTGGGCTGGAGGGCAGATGCTGCTCCCCTGGGGCCTCATCCAGAGCACAGGCCAGCACCAGGCCGGCGCCCAGCCAGGGGCCTCACCTGAGGAAACAGCTGAGGGGCTGTTAGGGGCTGGAGGCCTGTTGAGGCCACTCTGTGCCCTCTCCTCGGGTGGGGAACGTGTGGGAGCCACTGTGCTTGCAGAGCCTCCCCTGGCCTCTGCCCTTCCAGTCATGGGGGAGGTGAGGCAGGGTCCCTGTGTCCCTGGGCCTTGGTGCCACAGGCTGCCAGGGAGGGGCTGGGGAGCTCCCCGCACCCCAAGCAGCCTTGCTTCCCCTCTATTGTGAACTAGGCGTTCATAGGCCATTTTGTTTGAAAAAGAATCTGCTGCTAAACACAAAAGAAACAAGAGTCTAAACGGAGAGCTCAGGCACCTCAAAGATGTTCTAGGCAGAAGCTGTGGTCAGATCATGAGGGCAAACACGGGGTCACAAAAATTAAGCCTCTCCAGCCTGTCCTCAAGGCTGTAAACAGCATGGTCTCCTGAGTTGGGTTAGCCAGGGGCCCCCGACGGAGGGCCAGGCCAAGGGACTGATGCCAGGAGCCACTCTGGGCTGAGCTGCATGCACTGGCATCCCTGTGGCCCGAGTGGTACAGGTCTGAGCCAGGCTGCCTTCCGTGGAGTGTGGAGGCCCAGCCTATGCCACCTCCATGGCTATCCTGGTGGGCAGGTGGCCCTACAGGGAGCCAGGCCAGCCACTCCATCACAGTATACCTGGAGCCAACTGCCATGTGGCCTTGCCTCTCGGCTGAGGGCTGATCTGATGGGCTCACGAGGGCTCTGTGAAAGGCAGCTTCCCATTGCTCCTAACTTGGAAATTACACAGAGGGGTGTCTCCACTCTGCTGTCTCGGGGTCCCTGTTTCCTGGCTGGAGTGAGGAGCTGGGCCCTGTCAACCCCTGAACACGCACACCCACACGCGTGCACACACACACACACACAGACACAGCCCCGGGCTGTGCTGCTTGGACCATGCCTCTGCAAGGGCTCCCCCGTGCCCACAGTGGTGGCTGGGGCCAGCCCTCCCCCTCACAGTCACTCACACAGCCTCCTGCGTTCGAGGCTGTTGACAGCTCCGAGATGTCCGCATCCCCGTTTCATTGACCCGACCCTGAGGCTGAGGGGACGGAAGGGTCCAGTCTCTGTCCCTGCCAGCCCAGAGCCAGCGCGCCCAGGGCAGAGGGGGGACCCATCGATGCACCACTCCCAACAGAAACCACACAGCAGGCTCCCATGGGCAGGTGCTGAACCAGGAAGCTTTATTTACACAGTAAAAGTAACAAGCAAATTCCTGAGAGACTAGAGCGGCTCTAGTGCAAGACAGTCACGGCCTGCGCGGAGGACAGGCTGCGGCAGGCGGGAGGGGACAGACCCAGTGCCTTCCGCACCAGATCACTCTGCCCGGGCGGGGCCTGGCCCAGCACATGTGCTGGCCGCCACACCTCCCAAGGCTCTGCAAGACCAACAATGTATGGTTCGGGAAAGCACGCCATGGCTCCAGAAACAGCCTACACACCGTCACCCGAGCCCCCAGGACGTCTCCTCCACGCACTGAAAACACAACTTCTTTGCCAAAGAGACTATGCTAGAAGGTCAGACTATCCTATCTAGGCTACAAGATCTCTGCTGCAGTCTGGGATTTTTTTAAAAATCTTTTTTTCTTCTTTTCTCTTTAAAGAGGCATGGTTTTCTCTTGACTGGTGCCCAGGGCAGGGGTTTGACCAACTGTGCGGACCTGGCAAGATGTGGCATCATTGCCCACAAGGGAGCCGGGTGCCAGGGCGGTACCCGCTGGGTCCTGGCGAGGCTGCCAAGCCTGCTGCTGGGCTGTGCTGCTCACGCCCCGGCGGCACAGCCCGAAGCTTCCACCGTTCAGGTGACCAGCCCCAGGCCACAGAGTGCGGACGACCTGAACCCTGGGGGAAGACACGGAGGAGCTCGAGCCCAAACCAGTGCACAGCCCCCAGGGCGCGGTCTAGACGCCATGGCCGCCTGCTCAAAAGCGGGGCCCCTGCACTGGGGACCCACCGGGACATTTGGGTTTTTCTTTTTAATGTGGGCTTTTCCTTTATTTAAATTTTTTTTTCAGCATACAAATTCACAAAACTTTCCTGCTACAAAAATTTTGTTGAAAAATAAGGCTTTCTGAGAATGAAAATCCATGTATATGGTGAGCACAAGCTCCACCGTGGCCGGACGGTGCGTCTGCCCGTGGCCCTGCCAGGCCCGGCTGCCACCGCGAATAAGGCAAGGGGGTTGCAGGCATGTAAATGGCAAGGCCATGGCCCGAGCTGGAGGACGCTCCTCTGGAGTAGGGAGACGCGGGCCAGCAAGCTGCCCCTCCCCACGGCTCTCCTGGAGCCCTGATCCCGCTCTCGTGGTTCAGGCCCCGGGCAGGCGGGCAGCCTGGTACAGCCCTCCTCCCTGGCGCTGAACTCCCCCAGCCTTACCGCAGAGGCAGGAGTTTATGGGCATCGGCTGCGAGAGGCAGGGCCCCCACAAAAGTGAGGCTCCTGCAGGGCGAGTCCGCCAGCCCGCAGCTGGCCCGGCAGGACAGCCACCTGGGGTCGGAGAGAGCCACCTGGGGTCGGAGAGAGCCTCCTGGGCGAGCGTTCCTCCAAGAGCAGAAGTCTTGGTGCCAGCGGGTTGTGCACGAACGGGCCTCTCTGGGCAGTGTGGGCACCTTCTAGCTGGGGTCTGCTCTCTCCAATCAAAGACAAACATGAAACCAACTGACGGACATTTCTTTCTCTGAGCAGAAAGGACACTGGCCGTCTTCTCCCCTCACTGCTGCTGGTGTGGGCTTGGGCTAGGAGCTTCTGAGGGGGCAGGGACAGCCAAGAGGGACCTGAGGAGGCTGGAAACAACCAAACTCTGCCCTGCCCTGGGCCAGGATGGCTTCTGCCCGAAAGCGCCCTGGGGCTGGGCCTGTGGGTAGATGGGACCGGCTTGCAGGGAGGGCCATTTCACAAGCTCCTGCTTGTCCTTCCCTGCCATGAGGCCTGAGAGGGGGGAGGCGGCAGGCAAGGTCTGAGGGCAGGTCACCTGCACCACAGCCCTGTGACACACACCCACCACCGTGTACCTCCCCTTCTGGTCCCAGGAGAGGCAGCCAGGGCTGCTGCCCAGGCCTATCCTCGCTCAGCCCTCTGTCCCTCAGTGTGGCATGGACCAGGAGATGGGGCCCTGCCTCCCTTCCCAAAGGAAGGGCTGCTTTAGAGGCCATGCTCCTCTGTGGCCACTCTTGGTGTGGGCCAGGTGCCACACCTCCCACCTCAGAGGCATCAGCTCATGCTCTCCGAGTTCACATGCTGCCAGACATCACACAACTGCCCCAGCCTCCTCCGGATTTGCTCTAAGATGTGGTCTCTACAACCCACCAGGCAGGGATCAGGCAAGATGTCATCGTGGACCCAGAGCCGCCAGCTCTCTGAGTTGGCTCTCCAGGGTCCCAAGGGGATGTGCCTCTGGTGGGAGCCACCGAGGCATAGCTGGTTCCTGCCGCAAGGTGGCCCAGCACCCGCACACCCATTACACTGTCCAGACAGAGGCTTTCAGTGCAACCTCAGAGGGCCACTGAGTTAGGGATTCTGCCAGCATCTTAAGGCTGATTTTTAAGAAAAGCCACCTACAATCAGAACTTGAGCCATGACACTTTTGATGCAGTAAAAAAGTGAAGGTTTAAATAAAGTTTCCCAAACAGGGTCATTCTTTAGGAGAAAGAAGGTGAGAACCATCTGTACTCAACCTGTGGAAGTGCGGCATTTGCTGTCAACAGGAGAGGAGCTGAAGCAGCAACGTGAAAGCGCCTTGATCACGTGTTGGCAATCCCGAGAGAGAACACCCCAGTGATTTTTAGCCTCATGGGAAAAGGAGCCATAAGTTGCTCATAAGTTGACCAAATTGCTATTGTCTGTAGAAGATGCCAAGTTCACTAAAAGCCAGATTCCAAGAGGGCAGAGCCCATGTGGTGTGTCTGCCGGCCAGGCAGGGAGGGCTGCCTGAGAGCAAAGCCTCAGGGGGTCAGGGAGTCCGCGGGTGGAACCAGGGCGGGTGTGCGCGTCAACCCCTGTGCGTGTGGTGGGACCACAGCAGGAGGCAGCACTTAAGACACTCTGTCCCACAGCCGACCAGCAGGTGGGCTTGTCTTGAGGTGGACGGCACACCTTGATTAAGGCCAGCTCTCCCCACCCACCAAGGAGAATGTGCCTGGAATCCTGCAGGGGCCTCGCAGGTCCCCCACCCAGGGCCCCCAAGAGCATCCAGCAGACATCCTTCACCCTCAAAATGTGACAGGGCCTAGATTTGTGCACCTGCTCATAGCTCCTGCCTCCTGAGGACGTTTTCAAGAGGTCGCTCTTTTATGGTGACATGTCTCCACTCACCTTAATCAACTCAGCTAATCATGTAGGGATACGTTAGCCACGAGGATGGCTGCCAGCTGCCAGCACGGCCCCCAGGGTAGCAGAGTGCCATGGGGCCAGGCTCTCCACACCACCAGAGAGGCAAGTGGGCCTGTCTTTTTGGCCAAGAGATCCAGCAAATGCCTGCCCAGCGCAGGGGACCTCTAACAAGCACCCCAAGTCGTTCCCTGGGACCCGAGAGTTCAGACGTGGAGGGCCACCCCAGCACCCCAGGGCCTCTGTCTCCCACACTTGGAATTAAGGCCAAGGTGCTACTACAGAAGGAAGCGTCTCCCGAACCTTCCCGAACCTGAAGCAGGGAGATGTGGGAGAGAAGGCACGGAATAAAACTGAGTGAACGGAGCTGTGGGGCCGACTCCCCAAAACTGAACCTGAGCAGGAGGCCAAGAAGGGCCTTGACACCACTGGATGGACCTGAGCCCAGGCCGCCCGACAAGCCCCGCCGGCTGGAAACCGGGATTCGCACAGAGAGGCCAGTCCTGCCGGAAGTGCCACAAGTGCCAGGCGGGGTGGCTGATGTCCCACAAGGAAACAGGGGCAAGAGACCCAAACCAAGAAGCTGCTTTATCGGCGACAGCAGTTCGCGGACCATGGCTGCCGTGCTGTGAGCGGCTGAGCGTTCCACCGTGTGGTGCGGCCGGGTCGCCTGGCCCTGGGCCAGGACCCCTGCAGGCTGGACAGCCTCTCCAGGAGGCGGGTGGGCTCGCTCCCTGGGACCCAGCGCCTTCCAGGAAGCTTTCATCAGGCCCAGGAGTGGGGCTCCCCCCTTCCAGTGCCCACCCTGTACCCAGAGGGAGGCCGTCGATTCTAATGCACCCCCACCCCTGACCAGGGGCCCGCAACCCCCTCAGTTGTTCTCTATCTGTTCAATGTCCAGCTCGCCGTCCAGGGAGCAGGGGCTGTTCTCGGTGGCCCTGCGGTCCCGCCAGGCCGTAGCCGACTCCCCCCTCCTGCCGCAGCCCTCGTCCAGGGCACAGCCATCTGACTCCTCACAGCACGGCTCCTCCTTGCAGGCCAAGTGGTCGTCAAAGGGCGGGGCGAGAGACTCGGGGACCGGGGTCCCGGCAGGGGTCCTGCCCCCCGTGCCGGAGGCCGAGGCCGAGAGCAAGGCGGTCCAGGACCTGGTGCCACTGATGAGGGCAAAGGGGCTGTGGGGGCCGCAGTCTTCCATCCCTGCGCTCAGACAGCTGAGGCTGCTGAAGGTCTGACAGTTCTGTGGGAGAGACAGACACACAGGTCACTAAGGGTCACACTCCCTTCCCAGAACCCAAGGACTGCACACCCCACAAAGCCCACGGGCCTGTCAATGGGGTCGCCAGGGGGTGGAAGACCACTCAAACCCTGGCTTCCTCCACCAGCTAGGCAAGGAAGAGGGGCCATCGGCAACTCACTCACGAAGAAATACCCCTGGCCAATGAATACGTGTTAATAAAGAAACGCAAAATTCAGTTATTCACCTACAAATTGGAAAGAGCGCAACTTGATACTCCCCAATTTGCGGAGGCTGCAGAGAAAAGAGCAGGCTCAGAACCCTTCCCGCACAAGCTTTCTGAAGGGCGAGGTGGTAAAAACAGATCAGATTCCTTCATCGGGCAACTTCACTTCTAGGATTCCTACCTACAGAAAACAACTGAGGATGCACGCACAAATTCAGCGATGTGAGCATTCCTATCAAGCTGCCAAAGGGGAAAGGAGAGAGCAAGCCAACCCCCTCAATGATGGCTACACAGGACAGGTCTTTTCAGGCGTGGGAAGGCTCTTCAGCAATTAAAAAGTCCACAGCAGGAGAGAATTGATGGATGCAACTGGAGACGTTGCCAGGCTGCACTGCTGCACATGGAGGGGCGTAATGCCCACCCCACCCACTCGCCACCCCGCAGATGGGGAGATGGCTCCACAGGGTTGAGCTGGCGTTCCAACCTGGTGCACATCACAGCCATCCAGGGAGCTGGTCTCCACAGGAGCCCTGGGCCCCGCCTGGAGATGCTGATTCTCCAGGTGAGTCGGGCCCTGTGCTCTCCACAGGCCCTCTGGTGGCAGACGCCACAGCTCTGCTGGAGGAGAGGCCCAGCTCTAGGCTGGTTCTGGTGCTCATCAGCTGGGGGTGTCACGCAGAGCCATCAGCCTCCCTAGGCCTTGGCTGCCTCATCTGTAAGAGTCAAGCAATGGTCCCTGCCTGTCCCACAGGACCCTTTGAGATCCCAGTGAGAGAGTGTGGCTGTCAAGAGCTCTCCACCCAAGTGCTGCCCCTGTGTGGGGCTGGCCTGGAGAAGTAGGCAGCCTGGGGCCTGCCGGAGCGGCGGACGCAGACGCAACTAGAACACCAGGGAGCTCGGGGCTACCGGAGCTCACAAGGCGGGGCAGGCCCAGCACTGTGCACAGAAGGTTCAGTTAAATGCCTGCTTTCATGGCAGAGCACAAAATCAGGACAGAGGATTGTGGCTAGGGGCGCCCACAGCCCAGCCCTGGAGATCCCCAATAGGACCAGCAGCAACATGGTCCCTTCTCAGAGGGGACGCAACAGAAGAGATGTGCGTGGAAGGCAGGGGAGAGGACTCTGGGCTTTTGCTTCTTCCCTGCATGCTGTGGGGCACGGAGGCACAGAGGCAAGGACGTGGGGCATCACACGCCTCCGATGCCAAGATCACAGGCCTGTCCCGAGGGCCCTGGTCCTTTCACAGGCTACAGTGTGTCTGTCACTTTGAAATAAAGATGACCACTGCTATCACAATGAACAAGCTGCTGAAACAGGCTCGGCAAATGGAAAATAAAAGGCGCCGTCTCTGGAGGAAGGCGGCTAAGCCTGTCGTGCACACGCTCATTGTTCCCAAACACTCCATAGAGAAAACTGTTCTGATGGGTTTGCTTTTCATGGAATCTTTTGATTAAATGAGAAAAGTGAAGGCTAGCATATTGGGAAGCTCTGGGAAAGAGCGCTGGGATCAAGGAGAGAAGGGCTAGGCCACCCATTAGACCTGAGATGCTGGCCCAGGCCACGGCAGGAGTCCAGTCACAGCCTCACTGGACTGGGGACCACACAGTCCCCCGCCCCGGGCCACTGTAGGGTTCAGCAAGGCCCCCCAGTCTGCACAGAGCACATCCCCTCCCTCGACACAGCAAAGGCTGGCAACGGCTCCTCATGCAAAACAGGTCAGAATTCAAACCTGATGCTGGGTGAAGGCCCAAGATGCCTGTGATGGGAGGGTCTCTGAGCCCCATTCTCCTGGCTGGCATAGAGCTGAGCCAGGACAGAAGGAGAACTGGGTAGGGGCACAAAAAAGAGCGAAGACAGCCCAGCCTGGGCAGGAGGCATTAACCCCCACCCCCACCTGAGTCCCCATCCTTGCTGGCCCAGGCTGCCCAGGGCGGAGGAGGCCCAAGTGTGAGGCTGGGAAGCATCATGGAGCTCAGGAGCCGGGAAGCCAGCTCCAACCCTGACACTTGGCTGGGCAATCTGTCTCTTTGCCTGAGAGAAGTGGTGGTATGTAAGAAATCTCCCTCAAGGGCAATGTGACTCCTGCTAGTATAAATAATAACATTCGTTGTCAGTCCAGTGAGCTGCGAATGGCCCACAAGTGACACGGAGACACTGATGCCTCGGCCCTCAGGATCGGCCACATCCCTTCACCCCAGCGTGAACACCCAGACAGTGTCACTGTGTCTTGTGAGCCGTAAGGTGGACACAGTGGGAAGCACTGGCATCAACTGAACAGAAAGTGCCCCCGAGTCTGCATTCACCTCTTCATGCTGCTCAGATCATCCTGCCTGACCCTGTGCATTCCAATACCTAAGATGTTGGGGGGCAGCTCTTGTGCCTGACTTTATGGCAAATGTGACAGTGTGTGTCTGAGCACTGATCATGTTAAACATTAGCCATGCCGGCAGCCGGGTGCTGGGGGACCCCGGTTTGCTGGAACCTTTCAGAGACATAGCTTTTATCTCAAGTATCCCCCAGAGAAGGCTGAGGTCACACAGGCTGTGACAGATCTCTGCTACACACAGGCATCATGGCTTCAGACAAGACTCCACAACTTCTGGGCTTTGGCCCACCTGCCAAATAAGGGGTGGGCGAAGGGCACTCAGGGCCACCTCCATTCTGGCTGTCTGGAATTACTGTGTCCTGTTTGCTCTGCAGCAGGACAAAAAGCTGCAAGGTTTGGCTGGTGAATGTTAACACAAGCCAGCTCCAGGATGCTAATGAACCCCACCCCCCAACCGTCCCAAAGGCATCTGCTCCTTGGCTGCAAAGCCAGTGTCTCCATGAAAACTTTGTTGACTCAAAACTCAGCCACTTCAGCCACCATGAAAACCAAGACCCGCCTGCTGAATGCCCCAGCTGGTGGCATGCCCCACCAGCCAGGGAGGAATGTGACTGCCACAATGAGGCAGCGTGTGTCCTGCCGAGACTCTATCCCCAGGTGAGCCCATCCCCTGCCATGTCCAGGGCGCAGCCCATGCCCAGGCCCTGTGCCCACCATGCCCTGGGGGCAGGGTCCCAGCCAGTCTCTCCTGGCAGCTCAAGCTGCCGAGAAGCCCAGCCCCCACAGAAGAATGCTGCATGGGCCTGTGGGAGCCCTGGAGGCCTGTGTGCCCTCAAAAATGTCTGGGGAAAGTTACTAACAAGCCCAAGGTGCAACATGAACACATCACTCCAGGGCAAATGGCTGTTCTGGGACAAACAGCCCCCCACTCCAAATTTTGTTCTCTCGAGGCCCAGCCCTGGCCCACCCATACAGGCTCAGGCCTGCCCAGGTAACAAAGCTCAGAGGGACTGTCCACGTGAGCTCAAGCTAGTGGCTGGAGACATCGGTCAGCACGCCAGTCCTAGAGTCTGGAATGACTTCAGAATGGAGCCCCTGAAAGTCAAGTTGTTCCATCAGACCCTCCAGACCTCAGCTCTGGCCGCCACGTCTCAGCCCACCCCAGCCAGTCTCCCAGGGCTTCTCAGCCAGGAGCAATGGCCTCTTCTGCACAGCCTTTCTGTGCAGATATATGTTCTGACACCCTCCTGGGTAGGAGGCCCCTGGCCAGGCTTTGGGGACAGAGACAAAGGTCCCTGCCTCCCAGTGCTCACCCGCCGGAACTCTGCAGCCCTCCTTGCAGACGGAGGCCCATCAGACCTGGGCAGTGAGAATACCCCGAGAGCCAGGCCTGGCTCTCCTCTCCACGCCTGGGCCTGTGCGCCCCACTGTGAAGAGTCTGGAGAGGGCTCAGCTCCTCGCCAGTGGAGGGCACTTCTGCCTGGAGCTGCAAGCTGAAAACCAAATGCCCCCTCGGAAAGCTCTCGCTAACTCAGCAGACACTCAGCCCCATCTTGCTGTGTGTGCCGACGGCCACCCACCCTGCCAAGTCCCAGGCGCTCGAGCTCCTTCCCTTCCCCAAGTACTAGGGCTCCCATGCCAGCCTGGGCAAGCACGAGGGAGGGACTCCAGAAACGTCTACTCAGCTGAGCTGCACCACACACCGTGTCAGTAATAACCCAGAAGTAAGGGGCGGGGCAGGGCACAAAAAGCCTCCCTGGGAACACTGCCTGCGTGCCTGGAGTCCCCACAAGATGAAGGGTAAAGGGCATCCCGGGGAAAAGGCAAGGGTGGGCTGTCGGCAGCTGTGGCTGAGAATGGGCAGCAGCAGCCCCCTTTCTCCTGGTCGTCTTGCCCTAAAGAGGACAGGCTCATTCCTGTCTCCCTGGGCCCTGACATGCCCCGAAAGCTGGAAGAGCACGGGGATAGAGATTCTGGAGTCAGAGAAATTGGGCCCAAGTCTGGCTCCTCCACTGACAGTTGCCTCATTTGGAAACAGGAACAGTTGTTACTGGCTGGGCTGCTTCACAGGAGAAAACAGAGGCCAAGACGGGGCACCCATCCCTCTGCTGATGGCTCCCCGCCCCTTCCTCCTGAGAACTGCCCTGGGCTGGAAAGTCTAGGAGGTTAACCCTCTTGGTGGGGGGGGTGGGGGGGGTGGGGGGGTAGCCCACAGCCAAGGTCTGGCTGACACAGGTGCCAGAGCTGCCCCAGGCCTCAGAGGGATCCCATCCCAAGGGCTCTTCACATTGCAGAGCTCCTTCCCCTGTCCCATCCACCTCCCTCCAGGTTTCTCCTGAGAGCCACTCCAATCAATCACTTGGACCAGAATCCCCATCTCAGGCTCTGCTTCTAAGGAACAGCCTAAGAAGGGAGGTGAAAGCACTTTGTATGCTAACGTAGTTGTGCATTA